TCCAAATTCCTAAGTAACAAACACAGCTTCTTACTTATGCCACATGTCCCAAACATTTCAGCGTACTGCTAAAATTTAAGAATTTACACCATACTTAGATTTTTGTTTAAAAATAAGGGTTTTGCTATGAAAGTAATGCTAAGTAACACTACTTCTAAATTTTTCTCTCCACTTCAGCTTCTTTGAAGCCCCCAATAACAACTGTCATAATTCAACCTGGAATTTGACCTCCTGAAACCACTTTACTTAATGTTCTTCAACGATGCTCTATCTAGAACTGGGGCAAATGAATTACCGGATGTGCTTGTTAATAAACAGATTCACGGTCTCGCAAGACATAATGAATTCAGGATTTTTGATGGGTCCCCAAATCTACCGACTATTTGATACACTGAAGTGCGACAACCACGGCTTTAAGTACAGAGAAAGGCCTGGCCAGTTAGCTCAGTGGGTTAAAAGTGCAGCCCTGTAACACCAAGGTCAAGGGTTTGGATCCCTGTAGCGGCCAGCGGCAACAACAACAAAACAGAAACGAAAACAAAGAAAAAGAGAAAATTCAAAGTGATTTACAATTCTTCCAAAGTAGGCCTTGGTAGATGGATCTTGACACCTTTCTGAAGGATAAAATATGGGTAGTGTTTACCTTGTACACATTTCTTCTTTTATAATGTGTTATTTTCTCATTTAATTCTATACCAATTTTCATCTAGTGACATATTTTTCAATGTATCATCATACTGGTCACAATAAATATTATAGCCCGTTTGGCTGAAGTTTGTCTAACTCAAGGTTAGTTAACAGAAAGGCATTCAGGAAAGTGTCAATTACTATGTGTGCTTCAGACTACACGAGATGGCTGGTGGTGAGTGGCTTGGCAACGTTATGCTCATACACCCCTTTTCTTGCTCCCTATTACCCACTTTCTTGTTTTTCTTTAGCTTTTCTTTTTCAGAGTTTTTTCTTTTTTTTTGTTTTTCTTTGTTCTTTTGCTTTTCTATTGGAGCTTCTATCCACATTCCTCTTATTTATTCCTTCAATTATTTATACTTTTTACAAAATGAATGCAACTATTCATAAAATGTAATCCCAACTTATTACTGGGCCAGGATTCATTAGTAAAATCTCACTAATCAAAAATTTGAGATAGTTCAACCTAGCTCAGAGAAGACATTTATTTTTGTACCATCATTATAAAAGAATGAAGAGACTAAACGGGATTGTGGTTCTACTTAAAAGGACTGTTTTACTATTTTTATGGACTTCAAAACATAATTTTTTTCACATGAAATTATAAGACTTGTCAATGAAAATAAATTTGTAATACTTGTATTACACTAGGAAACTCTACTAGGAAGATGGTTAACAATTATATTTGTTGTATATTCTTATGCTGAAATATATTTATTTTAAAAAGTAACATTCAGACTGGCCTCTCTCCCAATTTCTCTGAAAGTGTGTGACATGGCTAGTGTAAGAACTGATGAATAAATGCTACCGAATTTATTCAGCAGTTAAAGCAAGGGGAACTTAAGATCGCTTCATGCTGTTTCATATTATGATTCTAAGACAAATAAATATATCAAAGTAATTTAATTATAAAGTAGCAGATTCTAAGTGAGAATCAAGAAAGGTCATATTAGAAAACATGATACAGGGAAGATAGTTTCTTTCTAAAACATGACTGTATACTTTAAATGATTAATATAATATATTTTCCTGAAAAACAATTGAAGAGGAATTTCAATTCATTCAACTCTAAATATGCAGAAATAACTCTAGGCAAAACATGAAAATGAAAGTCATTTGGCACATTTGTGATTTTGCTCATTCAAAATAGGTTTCTCTTGATTTGTTCAACAGATGTGTTTCTTTTAAGTTGTGCTGAGATGTTAGTTAAAGCATCAAAAAATACAAACAAAAACAACAAACTTTAAATAATTTGGTAGTTCTACATTAAGAAATTAAAACAAACAAAAACTCAGTGTGTCATTCTGTAATGTCAAATCTCTTGCTGAAATGTAAACAACTAATATCTAATTTTTTAGTGTTATTCATGGGCATTGTTATATATTGTATCCTTAAAGGTAGAGGGAGAATAGACTTTTATCTACGATAATATAGGCATTAAATGCTAGAATCACAGGGCCGGCCCGTTGGCGCACTGGATAGTGCGCCGCTTGGGAAACGCGGCGGCGCTCCCGCCCAAGGGTTCGGATCCCACATACAGACCAGTTCCCACTCTCTGGCTGGGCGAGGCACGGGAGCAACACCGAGGGTTGCGGTCCCGTTGCCGGTCCCGGTCCGGTGCGGGGGCGACACTGAGGGTTGCAATCCGTTGCCGGACACGGAAAAAGAAAAAAAGAAAAATGTAGAATCAAACAGCATGTGTAAAAATAAGTATTGATAACATGATCTGAAACATCTAAAGAAAACTAGACTGGTATTTTTTAATGGATTTTGAATATGTAATCTAGAAATATATATTAAAAGATAATTCTCATATTTTTATAGATAAAACAGCACAAAGAAAAAAAGAAACATTTTAAAATTAGAATTCTTTCAGAGAAAGAGTAAGAAGACTATCAAAGAAATTGCTTATTTCATCTGTCTGAATACTGATTAAAAATCTTACCATATTTGAAGGTTTCCATCAAAATCTCCAGTAGCTAAATATCTCTGCTGTAAAGATGTTGCACCAAATGTTCCACATTTAATGGGTTTGGCCTTTTCAATCTTGATAGAAGGGAAGAAGAGAGGATACATTATTTATGTAAGCAGTTATTTATAATACACAATATTTAAGGCTCTATTATGGGATTTAAATAAGACACATAATATAAAAGGCAATTAAAACATTTTCTGATAAAATGATTTCTTTCCTTTAGTCATCTTTCTATAGTTTAGAAGTATATAACTGTCAAAAAGGAGTTTTAATTTGCTTTTCCTCTTTCCTCTCATATCACTAATGAGACATTCAAATGCTAACAACTCTACCACCTCCAATGGTTTGCAATATGAAAGTTTCAGCATTTAATGTGGTATTCTTTATGATCCTCAGTAGAAATGAGAATAAAATGAAGATATTCTTTCCAGATGGCCACAGGAACAAAAATGTTTAAGTGTCTGTTATAGTTTTCCCTGCAGAACCCTATAAACTGAAGATGTTTTGTCCCACTTTCTCTGGGACCTTTCCAATGCATAGAGATTTATAAGCCTGTGTGTACCAAGGCACTGCTGTTAGTATGGATTAGTCAATCTTTTAAGGTTTCTTTAATTTAAAAGGCTACTGCTCCAAGTATTGTACGTAGTCACTTTAGTAAAATAACCACATACCAATGTACACTTTAAGATATGGGGTTTATTATGGAAATCAAGTGAAGAAGACCATATCACCCAAAGGGTCCTTGGAGAAAATCTAATACAATACCCTCCTGCTATAGAAGGAGATAGAAGGCTAGAGCTTTACAGATTTGCCCAACTCATGTAACATTCAACATTTAACGAGTTCCTACTATATGCAAGTCACTGAACTAGACAAAAGAGGATACAAAGATGAATGAGATTGGTCATTTCCTCAAGGAGTTTACAAACCAAATATCAGTTCCTATCTGAGTCCTCATATATAAGAGCAGCTTGGACTGCTCTTCTCCCATCATTAGGCCTACCTCCTTCTCCTCATTAAGATTTCATTTCAAATGCCACCTCCTCAAAGAGGCCTTCCCTGGCCCTCCGATCTGAAGTGGAACCCCCAAATCACCGTCACTCACCCTGTTTAATCTTCTTTATTGCATTCATCAACAAAATTATTTTACTTATTCAATTATCTGTCTCCTCCCTTTCTAGAATGTGAGCACCATGAGAGTAGGACCTTGTCTAATTTGCTTAACACCCACTAGGTGCTCAACATTTTCTGAATGAAGGTACAAATGAACATCTATTAATCTCTTAGCTCTAACACTGGGGAAAGAGATAGCGATGGTGGAGTTCACTTTCCTTTTTCTCCCTTTTCTCCCACCACGTTTTCACATACCAGGGCTCTGACAAACCGTATAGTTTCCATCATTTACATGCAATCAAAAAACAGCGTCCATATACAGAACACCTTCATATCAGACACTATTCTAGATGTTCTTCCAGACTAGACCATCTCTTCCCTTTTTAACACATACAACAATTTTGGAACACCATTTTCAAGATGAGGAAGCAGGTTCAGGGGACTGAAGACTTGCCTAAGGTCCCCAAAGCTAGATAGACTCCAAGCTTTTTGTATTAAAATACATAAATCAATTAAATAAACATTTTATTATGTAGCCCCCATTCAGTAAACCCAAGAGTCATTAGAAGTACCAAAGAAATGTTCCAATTCTGAAATGCACTGATGAGTTAAATGGTACAGGCATGAATTAAACCTACTTTCACATTTCTGTCCTTCAGTTTTTAACCGTCATTCATATCTTTACAAGGTATAAAACACGGTGATATGCTGCCCTCATGTCCTCTTTTCTCCTTGTAGTGAAGAAACATAAATGGATTTATAGATACTGGTGGTCTGTTGTGCAAGATCAAATTAAACTGCAAATACACAAACTTTTAAAATAAACTCACATATTAACATCTTCATGCAGCAAGAACTGCACTTTGCTCAGAAGGGCTGAGCTGTGCTGGCAAATGGACTTATAAAAGCAGGCGTGTTTTCTCCTTTCTCAGACATTCATGGAAATCACAATAGTAGCTAAATTAAGAGGGGACACTACTAAAGCTAGTCTTTTATAATTCACAAAAGGGCTTCCTCTCTGTCCCTGTTAAATATTTATCTATGGAAAAGAAAATATGAACAGAATTCAATGATAACTTAAAAATTTTTTCACTAGAAAACTGATTGGTTAAAAAAAAAAATAAAGATCAACTTTGTGAAAATTGTTCCACCAAGAAAATTAGTATATATTAATAATTTTTGCTGTGTGACACTGAAAATGACTGTCAGTAATCATAATTGACCTAGCTATTGGTTTCTTTTGCTACAATAACAAGTTAACATGATTGAAGAAGACCATGATCAATCATTCCTGTGAGAGCTATTTTTGTCCTGTCTGTGGGTGGGTCTAGTACAGCTTGTCAGTATTTCCTCCTCCACATCCTGGCACTACTTAATTAACATTAAAAGGTTTAGTCAACCAAATGCTAACAAGCAGTGAATTCAGAAGCACAGAGGCCAAAAGGCAGAACTTTATTAGCTTATTACTAATTTTTATACTATAAATATCCACAACTATGATTCCATTTTTGAGGTCCATCCCTAGTTCATATGGTACCCTTGTACCAATTAGAAAAAAGTTGCCCTTTATAGGCTAATGAAGTCTCATACATCCAGTTTGATGAAGGAAAAAGATGTCAGCTCCTACTTGAACACTCAGACACCTTCATGTGGTAAAACAAACTGCCCAACTGTACCTGGAGGCCCTGTTCCTTATCTTTCCTTTTAGCAAGGAAATAAGGAAGACATCAACAAAGACCAATTTGCTACCTTCACAAGTTTTTATCTTAGATGCATGGGCTTTGGAGCATACAAATTGGGGTGGTTCTATGATGATAAATCAAGTATGTTTCATAATTTTTTTTTTAAAGATGACCGGTAAGGGGATCTTAACCCTTGACTTGGTGTTGTCAGCACCACTCTCTCCCAAGTGAGCCAACCGGCCATCCCTATATAAGGATCTGAACCTGTGGTCTTGGTGTTATCAGCACCACACTCTCCCAAGTGAGCCACGGGCTGGCCCTGTTTCATAATTTTTTAATAATAATAATAATCCATCTAGCCCAATGGTTCTCAACCTTGGGACTCATTAAAATCAACTGAAAGAAGTTTAAAAATAATACTCATGTCCAGACCTTATTCTAGTTCAGATGCAACAGAATACAACTGGGTCCGAATTTGTAGGAGTGGAACCAAGGCATGAATATTTTAAAATATGCACAACAAAACACACTCAGGTGATCCTGATGCACAGCACGAGGTGAGAATCACTGAACCTGTCATATTCTTTTCCATTGTACCATCACTGCTAAATACACTGTAAGTTCTTAAAGTGTTCTTGTATTTGTTTTACCCTCTTTTTAGAGAATAGACTCTTCAGGAGAAGGAATTCACCTGTCAAATAACTTCGGTCCTTATTTAGCACAATATCTAGAAATAGTGGTTCTCAGTAGATAATTTATGGTAGGAAAAAAGAAGACTCAAAGAATCCAGATGAAAATATAAAAAGTTGTTATTCCTCAGGTTGAGATTATAGGTGGTATTTTCTTTTTCTTTCCTATCTGCATTTTCAAAATGTTCAATCATGAACACATATTACTTTTGCTAAAAAACAAAATTACTTTTTGAAAAACTGCTAGAATCCTCCAGAATCTCTAGAAGAGACAAAGAGCTTTTTACTCGATGGAATAAGTATATTCCTGAAATATGTACAAATCACATATTCTTATTTTTAAAAGTCACAAGTTTACAAATGCTCTCTGGTTGAGCTTCAACTAGCATTTGTTCCTAATACTTCACATTAAAGTTTCTTTCCACTATTTCATTTGTTCAAACTCCTGACCACAAGTTAATGATCAGTAAATCAATATTAAAATTTCCCAAGTTATGCCCTATTTACAGACATACACTCACTCATTCTTTTAACAAGTAATTTATTGAGTCGCTGCTCCTTACAAAACACACTTTAAAAAAGGCATTGTCCTTACTCTCCAGGAGCTTACAATCTAGTTAGAGATAAACGGGACAGAATATATTTCTGGCACAGAAAATAAGTACTATAGGAATGCACTTTGTGTGGGGATCAGGAAGGGCTTCATACATCATATAATCTGAACCAGACATTGGAATAGCAACGGGTGACCGGGAGCTAAGTGATGAACAGCATAGGAAAGGTGGAAAAGAACAAGCCATGTTTAGAAACCCTGAGTGGCTGGCTAGAGAAAACAAACAAGAAAACAGGCACTCAGGGAAATTTAAAGTGGGATGGGGCCTTCCATACCTTTGCCTATCCAAATTGTATTCATTCTTTACCTACCAGTTTACCCCTACCTCCTCCAAGCCAACTCTTTCCATAGCTTTTTATCCCTGGAGTCTCAACCTTTCCTGCACTTGTCTTATTACAACCCTACACACCTGATTATAACTGATCATTTTATTCAGGCAACCCAAATCAAGACATTTTAAAAATTGTAAGCAGCTATAAAAATGCTAGTTATTATTTTCTAATTCTCACTAGTGACCTTTACGAAACTTGTAAATCTGATCTTGCCACAGCCTGTTTAAAGCCCTTCAATGATGTTCCATTTTTCTTAGAAAAAAAGGCATAAACCCTTTAAATGTCCTACAGATCTTGCAACGTCTGGTTCCTGCTTACCCCTCCTGTTTCTTAAGGAGATAAACTTTCTCCCATCACTGAGCCAATCCTGTTCTCTTTGGAAATCTAGTCCTCTGCTCCTAGTTTGGCCTAGCTATCTGCTATTCATCCCAAATCTGTTTTTTACTCTCAGAGAACCATGTTGCTTTGTGTTGGAGAACTCATGTACGTTTGTATGTATGCGTTGTTGGTTTGATTTATTTAACTTATTATCTCTCTCTCCCACTAGAAAATAAACTCTATGAGATAGGGACATTGCCATTCACATGCCTGGCACTCAACTGATACCAAGCACTCAACTGATACTTGTCAAAAGAATAAATGTGTTAGGTTGTCTCTTTCAAATACACTGCACGCATCCTGGTGTTTGCTTTGGCTCCGCTTGCATGAAAAAGCATTTGCTAACATGGGCCTACTTACAGACTCTTAACAAACAACTGCGAACTGCCTAAAAGGTCCTCGAATTTAGACAAGACATCTTAAGTTCACTTTTCAGAGACCTCGCGCTGGACTGTGCTGGGGGTGGAGGAAGGGGCCGGCTGGGCGCGCATGTACTAGCCCGCCAATAAGAATTCAGGGCTCGAAAGAAAGGCTTTAAGTCGGAAGCATTCCTCAACTGCGATCAGCTTCTCTGGTTCCACGCAACTCGAGCTATGCTTTTGGGAGACGCTGGGCGAAGACTTTGGAAAAGAGAAATGCAGACCCCAGAATCCGCACTCGCCCCCAACGGCAGTCCTGATCCTGGAACTGGGTCGTCTCAACCCGGACACCCACCTCCCGAAGCAGCTTCAGGTCTCCGTGCTGGATCTCATACAGCTGAATGACGCCGGTGCCCCGTGCGAAGTTGCCCATGGTCACAAATTTGGCGCTGCAAGGCACCCACTTACAGTCAAACACCGTGTAGTTGAGGCCCTTCTGGATATGGGCGATGATCTGAGGCTTCTCGAAGGCCGACATGGTCAAGCCAGTTTCACCTCCAGCAACTGCCAAACCCAGACCCTAACGAAATACTAACCTGGAAACCAGTCTCCAAACATAAAGGACAGTTTGTCCCTCCTGTTTGCCGTACTCTTCCCCCAGCAAGTCGGATTTAGTTATCTCCAGTAATGCCAGATGAGCTCCTGAGATCACACAAGATGTTTCTCCACAGACGGCACAAATCTGTTTATTGCCTTTACCCACTGCCTTTCGCACACGTACATATTGGAGATTACAAAATGCTTTGGCTGTGAGTTGCGCGGCCGGAGGGAGACCATAAGAATCCGGCATATTTTAGGACAGCCCGCACAGACACAAATCCTGCTTCAGGTCCCCGGCGTGGGACTAACAAGTAGGGGGCGGAGCCCTGAGGTCGGTAAGGGGAAGGCCCGCTCCTGCGGGGTGCGCCTGCGCGGTGCAGCAGCGCACGTGCACCAGGTGGAAGGTTTGCCCGGGCCGGAGGTTCCTGAGGATGGAAGCCGAGATGGAGGCACGGAGCGCCGGGGCAGAGGATGGTTTCACCCAGGTCACCCGCAAGGGTGGCCGGCGGGCGATCTCACGGCAGGCCGAGCAGCTGTCCGCAGCGGGGGAGGGCGAGGACGCGGCCCGTATGGAAACGGAGGAAGCCCGGCCGGCGAAGAGGCCTGTCTTCCCGCCCCTCTCCGGGGATGGGCTTCTGGTACTAGCGGGGACCCTGGGACTGGAACAAGGCGGGGCCAGAAGCAGATCAAACCGGTGGCCTCTGGGTGATGTTGAAGCTGCGGGGGGCTCTTCTGCCGTGAGGCTGAAGTTTAAGTCGTTCATTTAAAGGAAGCTTTTTGTGGATCAGCTGTCATTTATTTTACAACTCCACCCCCATCCCTCCACATGTCTCCTGAGTTATGTGTTCTTTTATTGCAGAGTGGGAAAGAAGAAACAAGGAAAATTCCAGTCCCAGCGAACAGATACACACCCTTAAAAGAAAACTGGATGAAGATATTCACTCCTGTCGTAGAACATTTGGGACTCCAGATACGCTTTAACTTGAAATCAAGGAATGTAGAAATCAGGGTAAGGAGAATATTAATCATTTCCGAGTATACTAGGTTTTCTCTACAGGGATAAAAAGGCATGAATAGACTTTTCTTAATGGGACTTATTCTTTTAAATGGTTTTCTTCCAGGTTTTTTGTAGGGGTTTTTTTGTAGTTTGGTTTTTTTGGTGGCTGGCCAGTGTGGAGATCTGAATCCTGACCTTGGTGTTACAACACTGTGCTCTAACCTAACGAGCTAACCGGCCAGTCCTTTTTCCATTTTTCTAATATATCCTAGTGAATCGGAACTTCCCAAATGCCCTCAAAATCTATATTCAACACAAATATTAATTGAATTCCTAAGCTGAGGTCATACCAAAGTATTGGCTATGCCTGTGCATGTCGTTTATTATGTTCAGTGTGGAGTTGAGAAAACGCTGAGTAAAGAGATTATCATAGACAGATGTATTTAAATAATGAGCATAAGTACTTGTTGCAGTATAAGCACTATATATTTTAATGGCATTCTTTTGGGGAAAAATACTATTTTAAGAATAAGTATAAAATATACATGCATACATATGCATATGTATTTTTTTTAATTCCATGGTGTCAGTCTGGGAATTAGACATTTAGAGCTGACTTTGGGTTTCCTTTTCCAGGTGCCAATTTTATACCAGAATCAATGACCGAAATTAATTATATTTTCCTTTTTGAGGATTCTTATACCGTCGTCAGGACTGGTGTAGACTCATCTCTGTTAATGGACAATAATAGTGGAACAAAGAGAGACATTAATTTAAATAGCAGCTGAAGTTTAAAATATCATAGAATGTGACAGTAGAACCCCTCTTTGCTCCCATTGCTACTCACATTCAAGCTTTTATGGTTTCAGGCCAAGAGTTCTTATTTCCTTATGGGTTTCCCTTGCTTCATGGTTTTAAGTCTCTGCTTTCTCCACTCTATCCTGTATGCTAGTGTCAGTTTAATTTTCCCAGGCAATAATGCTTTTATTATGATATCCTGGGATCTTCAACATCTCTAAAGGATAGAAATTAAGTTTTTGGCTGAACCTGCCTTTCAAGTAGGAGACCAAGTCACAAATTCATCTCTCACCATTTCTTTATGTGCGTACTTCATGGTGGCTTTGCTATGTGAAAAAGGTCCTTTCCTCCATACTCCCTTTTTCTTCCTACTTCAGTTCCAATCATCTTTCAAGGTCTTGCTGAAGTTCTTTCTCCTTTATGATAGGTCGATTTTCAGTCATTTCTTCAATGCTTGAACCTTTATTGTGTTTAGCTTTCTTATTCATTGCAGGATCATCAATTTGGATTCCACTAACATTTGTTGATGCTGCCATATATCAGACACATAGTGGTACTTTGACATGCACCACATCATTTGGTCTTTAGGATAGCCCTACGTGGTAGATGATATACCCCCATCTTGCAGGTGTGTGGAAACTGAGGGTCAAAGAAGTTCAGTATCTTTGTCCAAGTCATCAAGCTAATAAGTGAATTTTGATGCTAGTAGGTCTTCCACTCTGACCCCCTTACTTTATAGATGAGAAAACTTAAGATCTAGAGTATTTGTGGGACTTACCCAAGGTCACACATAGGATTGGAACTGAGGTCTAGTTTTAAATGTGGAAGTCCAGGAGACTTTCTCATTACACAATCAATCCTATATGGTTTAAAATTTGTCAAATATGGGCCGAGCCCGTGGCGCACTCGGGAGAGTGTGGCGCTGGGAGTGCAGTAGCGCTCCCGCCGTGGGCTCGGATCCTATATAGGGATGACCGGTGTGCTCACAGCGCTCACTGGCTGAGCGCGGTGCGGCCGGTCTCAAAAAGGAAAAAAAAAAAAAAAAAAAAAAAAAAAAAAAAAAAAAATTTGTCAAATATGTGGTCTTCTCAACCGGATTATGAATCTTTATGGGAGAGTGCAAACAGTTTTGGAATCAGACCTGTGCTCAAATCTTACCTTTTTCACTTTTTAGTACTGTTACTTTAGTTTCTTCACATATCAAAGTATTCATAGCGCTTAATACTCAAGGTTGTCCTGAAGATTAGAGCTATAGTGTGTAAAGCATATTATTTAGTGCGTGTTATTTACACTGGTAGACATTTTATGAATAGCTGCTATTTCTTCAATTATCAAACTCTTTGAGGGCAAAATCACTGCTTAAACTATTCTTGGTTTCCCCTTCAGTACTGGGCATGCAAGTATAGTTGAATCTTGAACAACACAGGATTAGGGGTGCTGACACCCACACAGTTGAAAATTCGAGTATAATTTTTGACTCCCCCCACACTTTACTAATAGCTTACTGTCGACCGGAAAAGCATTACCAATAACATAAACGACACACATTTTGTATGTTATATGAATTATATACTATATTCTTAAAGTAAGCTAGAGAAGAGAAAATGTTAAGAAAATCAAAAGGAAGAGAAAATAGACTTTTAGTGTACTGTTCAGTATTTATTGAAAAAAATCCTCATGTAAGTGGACCTGTGCAGTTCAAACCTGTGTTGTTCAAGGGTCAACTGTAGTTAGGACTGGAGTTGTTGGTTTGGGAAACATCAGCATATAAATGATAATTGAAGTCAGAAGGTTAGGTCAGGACTCTCAGGGAAGACTGCCTGCAGGAGAAGAGAAGAGGACTAGCGGGGGCGTTGAAGGAATGGACAAAGGATGGAGGTCTTACAGAGTGTGAGTGATTGGGCTGTGCCAGGGGGACCTTGCTGTTAACCGAGTTTGATCAGTCAGATAGTGTGGTCAGTCATTTGACAGTCTTTGAGTGAAACTGTCCAGCTCTGGAACTGGGAAGGTTTTATTTTCAAATTAAGGATAGTACTTCATACAGAATATACTGGGGAAAGGTGGCAGTGAAGGAAATTATAATAATGGGAAAGGTGATGATTTTGTTAGCATATTTTCTTTTTCATTCCCAACTGTAATTTCTACCTATTTTTTTTTTTTTTAACAGACTTGTAAAGACACAAAAGATGTTAGTGCTCTGACAAAAGCAGCTGATTTTGTGAAAGCCTTTATTCTCGGGTTTCAGGTGGAGGTGAGTGATTTCATGACATCTGAAATGGGGGCTTGCAAAATATTCAATATGAACATTTCAATGGATTGGACATTTTTAAAAAATTTGAGTTTTTTAGCTCTACTATTTGTGAATTTTAGTTCAATGGTGCTTTCTGCTTCACTCATTCTCAGGTATCTAAATGGAAGGGCCTTCACAGTATTTATTTTTATATTATAGGATGCACTTGCCCTCATCAGGTTGGATGACCTATTCCTTGAGTCTTTTGAAATTACAGATGGTGAGTGTGGATGGTCTTTTCCTGTGAAACACTGTCCTTTTGTATTACTTTGTATTGTGTCGTGACTCAATTTTCTAATAACATCAACTGAGCTGTATTATTAGCAACTTTTTAAAAGATGTGTATTTTGTGTCTTTTAGTAGGGAAATTTAATGATTAAATTTTATGTGGAAGTGGGTGGTGCACTGGATTGGCTTGCCTCTTGAGATCTTGCTTTTCTTGTTTAGTTAAACCTCTAAAAGGAGACCACCTGTCAAGGGCAATAGGAAGAATTGCTGGCAAAGGAGGAAAAACCAAATTCACCATAGAGAATGTGACACGGACGCGGATAGTTTTGGCTGACGTGTATGTATCTGACTTTGAGAAAGTTATTGTCATAATTTATATTTGAACTTCTGTTAGTTTCAAAAAGATGTTATAACAGTCGTATTTTATGCATAATGTTGCCACTAAATCTTTGTCGGCATATGGTTCTGGATGAATAGTCACCTACTTTGAAAGGAGATTAAGTTAGTTGAGAAAATTTCAGGAATTATAGCTTTTTTTTTTCATTTAGCAATGAGGGAAATGTTTAAAGTCACTATTCAAAGAAATTATATTACAGATGAAAATTTAAATAGTATCTCAGGGGAATTTATTTTATCAGTATGGGAAAGCAAACAGTCAGTGTTTCAGATGCCATCATGAGGCTCTCCTTTAAAATATATGAGGGTACTTCAGAAAGTTCATGAAAAGATTTGTAGTATCTTTTAATTCTATTTTTCCATGAACTTTTCAAAGTACCCTTGTATATGATGAATTCATGCCATTGCATATATATATCCCCAAGGCCCTTTAGAAAAAGGTGAGTATCTCACGTTGGGTTAAAAATCTTGAGAGCAATTATATGTAAACATAAATGAGGTGATATGGGCTTAGAATAAGGGTGTCAGAAGTGAAGCTGGGATTATCCGTCTCTGAGGTTGAGGCTGCTCTGTTGCCAGGTTGGGGATCTTACTGGCAGATGGCTCAGAGGTTATATAATGCCAGGAAGTTGGGAAATGAAGCAGTTGACTGAGAGGAGGAGGGATCTGCCTGTGACTAAATTCAGAAATAATTTCATTTGATATCATCTCATTTTTGCCCTAAACTGAAGGGCTCATCATTATTTAAAATCTAAATTTCACACATTCTTTATAGTCTGTGGATAACTATGATACTATGTGGGTGCCCTCTTTACCTGAAGCCAGGTGTATTTTTTTTTAATCTCTTATGGATTGACCCTAAAGTCAGAAATATGGAGCCATCAGCAAAGCTTTTTTGAACTGGAAATGTCAAAAACATGGAAAGGTACACATTTTCAAATACCTTATACATTCCTTCCTAAAAGCTTTTGTTAGTTTAGAAATCCAAAAATGTAACTAATTTGCTGATGAAATTATGGTTAGTGTGTCATTAA